TGGTTTTCATAACGTTTAAGCTATTTAGGATGACACTGAAGCCAATCTGCTGCTTACATGTTTATTTTGGAAGCACGTTAGAAACTTCCAGTTCTTGGCAAGTGGTTTGGAAGGAGCCTGTTAAACTGAAACAGGTGGTGTTTCTGCTTTCCCCCCCCTCTGCTAAAACCATCTTTTCCTTCATTTCATCCCATGCAAACATAAGAAGTCACAGAAGAGACGCGGCTGGGATGGAGCCTCAAGAATACACCTCTCAGCTGCGGAGACGCAAGAGCCCGCTGCCTTCCTTAGGTTGTTCAGTCTTGAAAAAGAGCTGTAATGGAAATAAATATGCGGGACTGCTCTAAGAATGGTATGGAATAGCTGTCGTGTGTGTAAGCTGGAGCAGCAGGTCTGCACCTGGGCTGTGGTGGATTCCTGTGCTGGGACTGACCTTGCGTCTCTCTTGGACTTCACCACCGCCAAGAGCTGAACGCGCAGGCTGGAGATCTGCAGCAGCAGCGGTCGTTCCCTGGCCTGAAAACAAGTCTCCTTTTGAGAGACATCCAACTTAAAGAAAAAATAAAAAAATAGGTAGATATTTTTAGATGCCTGCTTTTTATAGCTTAAGACAAGCATGGTTTTTTTCTCTTTGAGGAGTATGTAGTTTAATTAAGCATCACATTGTAAAGTCGTGTAGATGAGTCAGTCACTTGCAGCTGAATATCCATTTAACATCACCATAAAGTTAAGACAGACATCTAACTTACTGCACACATGTTAGAGGCTGGCATGTTAATGCAAACAAAAAAGTTTCAGTTAAAAACAAAACAAAACAAAACCCAAACTAAAAACCCCACAGTAATGATTTCTTGTTCACCAAGTGAAAATACAAAAACCTCCACTTCGAGTTTTTTGAGATGCCAGGCAGCACAATTCACTGATGAAAACAAGTGCAATGACAGTCTCTCCGATGAAAATGTAAGTGATTTAAATAAGACTACTGCATTTTAAATAAATGCTTCTCATTATTCTAGCCACATTGCAAAAAAAGTTGTTGGTACTTTTTAAGGAAAGATAATGAAATTCTCCAGGGCAAAAGTAAAGCAATCGGATTTCTCACACCTTCTCTTTAGTTTCTTGCATTTTTAGATGAATATGCTTATTTTATTTTCCTGTATAAAAGTAAAAGTTTCGTCTTGTTGATTCACAGGTTTAAGACTTAAACTTCCCATAGGTAAAACATATCACGAATGGCCGTTTGGCCATCACCTTGTGTGCTGCTGGCCCTGCACCACTGACGGCTCTATGGTCAGGAGCAAGTCCCTTCCTGGGGGATCACCAAGGGCAGGACATTAAGAAAAGAGGGTCCCCTTTTTCTTGTTCATCGCTAAAGATTAGGCACAAGTAGTTAATGTGACTCTTAGATTGGTATTTTTCTCTAATGGTATACAACTAACTTTTTCCTGTCCATGTTGACATTAGAGATACTCAAAGATCAAGGCATGGAGTAGGGTGTTCAGAAACCTTCCAAGAAGTCTAACATTGAGCAGAGGAATTTCACACGAGGGGAGAAATTCCCCGTGATGTAACTCATCTGCTCTTCTCTTCGTCTTATGAATGTTTTGAGACCACTTTTGCCTTGCTTTTTGAAATGTACATACGGCTTACTTGGACCAAAGCGTGGCTTTGAAGCCTGAGAAAATCCTTTAAAAGGCAGCTGGTGTTTTAAGTTGAATTTTTAATGATGAGGTAGTTTCTAGAAGGAGTGCTGCTATGCAACTTTGGAAAGAGAAAGGGGAGGAGGGCCAGTAGAAGACACCCATGCATAAGTTATGTTCATTCTTTTTCTTTATTAATGCTGTCAAATTCCCAGGAATAGTTGTTAGCATTTCTAGCCAAGCAAAATTAATACAAAGATTTTTTTTTTTTTTAAACTTTCTGCCAGTTTGAAGCTCTTTGCATATATGTTGGCAAATTGACTTTATGTCCTACAGGAAAAGAAGTCAATGCATTCTTAGAAGGCAATTAATTTTCGTCTTGCAAAGCTTTTGCTTTCTTGACCAAGGTGGAGGTGGCCGTGGAGGTGGCGGACATTGTGAAAGTGTCTGGTGTTGAAGTCGTGGGAGGATGGTCTCATCAAAAACAGCTAGAGGTGTTCAGCAGTGACAAGGCACTGTTCTTAAAAGCAGTAATTTAAAAAATTAAAAAATTAAGACTTATGTCCAAACAGTCCTGCCAGGGAAGACCTGGTGGAAGTGAGGAATGCGTATGTGATGGCAGTGGGTACGTATCCAGGCGTTGGGATGGCTAAGCCTTGCTATGGTACGCAGCACGTTTCTGCAGCCCTCCCAGCTACACAGATAGGCAAAGCAGCTGCTGTAATTTGTTTTGTCTTAAACAGATTGATGGACCATTACTCTATTCCGTATATTAAATATGGAGCTAACGGCCTGACGGTTACTTTGGGGCTTCAGGCAAAGCCTTGAGCAGCCTGTGCGCCAGCCTCAGTAGCACTGCACCTCGCCAACGCTGGGGTGCTGCTTCCCACCTGTTTCGGGGGAGAACGGCGGTAGTTTGGTGCCGTTCTGGAGCAGGAGGAAATTACAGTGCCTGTCTGGCAGCATCAGGCTGGGGCGGTCGGCGGCAGAGCTGGGAGCCCAGCTGGGGGCTGCTTGCTTGCAGAGCAGCGAGGAGACAAAGTCTTTTGGTTTTATGATGATATTACAGTCCAAATCATTTCCAGACTCCCGAGAATGTGAAACAAGATGATGTGAAAAACATAAGGTTACTGTAGTTTTGAGTGCTTTCTATGCTCTTCTGGATAAATGGAGCAGAAAAGTCTACCAACTTCTCTTTGAGATTTCAGAGGCATTATTATATTCTGTAGTTATTATATTGTCGTAGCTCTAACAATCCACAGTAAAACTGAGCCATATTCTGCTGAGTGTTGTACATGTGCAGAATAACGGATTATCCGTGGTGTCGAGAGCTTGGTTTGAGGTCCATGTTGTAGGTATTCATGCAAAAAAGTTTGTGCACAGATTCTCATACTTTTTTTTAGCAAAGAGATTATTAAATAGCAAAATAACACAAAGTAGACATCAGTGTTATAAAGCAAATTGATACTACTTCACACACACATAAAAAAAAAAGAAAAATCAAAAGCATTAACTTGGTAAATAAATGGAAAGAGAGAAATAGAATTGCATTTAATTTCTAGCATACTGGATCCAAAGCTGATTCTTCATTTTTGTTTTGCCTCTGCTCCAAGCCATCAACTCTTATTCTTGTGCGACTGGAGTATTTTAATTGTCCGCCTCTGCGTCCCTCTTCTTCTCTGCCACTTTCTTATCAGTAATTATGTGGCCTTCAGTGGTTAACAATTAATCAGAAAATGAATTGGGGCTGGGGGAGATGGCAGGGCCGTTTGATCATGCACCAGGCGAGTGAGGGCTTCGCTTCTGAGAGTAACCCTGACCCAGCTCCCGCCTGCACATCATTTATCCTGTCCAGAGGCAGAGCCGGGGCTGGTGTCTGATTACACCGACGTCCCGTCGTGTTCGGCTCCACGAGCTGTTGTGGATCAAGCGTGGGAAGGCGTTCAGTCTTTTTGCAGAGGTGCCTTGTGGCAAAAGCAGACCTGGTGTCTTTTATGCCATTACTGGTACATCACGCGTTTCGTTTTCTTCAGCTTTCTGCTAGGAGGGAGCTAAAAACATATTTTCGCTCGCTTGCAGCATGCTTGAGCGTACTGGGGGATTTGGGTTGGTTTGCTCTTTCCCCAGACCTGGGTGGCAGAATTGCTCTGGTTTTCTCTTTCTTCTGTTGTCTCAGGTTCACGTGTAGTTTCATATTTCTACAATTTTCTCTCCCTTCTCCTGCTTTGTGACACATCCAACCCCTCAGCAGGACACTATGCTGTTGAGTTTTAGCAGCACATTATTGAGAAACTTCTTGTTCTGGGGTCTGGCTCTGTTTCCAGCTGGGGGAAAAAAACCTGCAATAATCAGAGTGTAGGATGGCTCATCAGTGGTACTTAAGATTCTGGATAGGAGAAGATTGTTGGCAGGACTTGCTGTTTTGGCAGTCACCCTTGATGTTGTCTCCTTATCGGTCTTCCCGTTGTTTCTCTTGGGTGCATTGCTAATGGGCTCTGCTTGTTTATTGGTACCCTGAAGTCAGTCTCTGCAGTTTTGAAAGACACCCACTGCATCGCGGTCTTGTAAAGCACCAGGAGAGCACCACCACCCCTTCACCAGCGCTGCTTCGCCTCACTGGAAGCAAACGGGTTGGGAAACACGGCCGGATATTTGCAAATCCAGTGTTCACATTTTCATCCCTCTCATACACACGTTGCTCTTCCAGAGGAAAAGAAGAAAAAAGCAACAAGGGAAGAAGTACATTTTTGTTTGCAGGTGCTTTCTGTTCGCTTGCTTTGCTCTTCAGTATCCTGCAAGCACGAGCTGCCATTGAAAATCAAATGAATTCTCAATTGCTTCCTTCCAATTCAATAAGTGGAGGAAAGCAGAAACCTGCCACCGTCGCTGGAAGGAAACGGGGCAGAGGAAGACATGGGTTCAGCAGAAAGCCGTTTCCTTCCCTCCTTTCCCCAGGGATGGTCCCTGGGGAGACGGGACTGCGCCCCTGGGGGACATGGAGGAGGAGCCTCACCTCCATCCACCCGGGAAGCACGAGGATGCGTCGTCTACCATGGACTTGGGTGGTTTTCTTGCTCCCTGACATTTCCCACTTTGCACGGCATTTTTCTCTCACCAATCTTTTTTTTTTTTTTTTTACAGGTGTAAGCAACCTCGCATCATCATTGCATTTCTAGAGGTGATGAGGATGCATTTTTGTTATTGCTGTTATGAGTATCCCCTTATCAGAGCAGAAAAAAGATGGAATCTGACTCTGGATTGAATGTTTTGATTCTTTTGTTTGTTTGTTAACGTAGAGTGATGAATATTCTTTTTTGTAATTTTTTTCATTATAATTTTACAATTCTCTCTCTCTTGCAGCAGGGCAGAGTCCTCGGCCGCTTGCGAGGTGTGCGAAGGCGCGGAGGAGATGACGGAGCCGCTGAAGCAGTGCACGGCCTGGCTGCGCGCCTACTTCTGCGAACCGGCGAGGATGGCGAGCCTTCCCCTGCCGGCCTTCCACCACCCGCTGCTCCGGCGAGGTCTGTGCCGCGGGACGCCCGTCCCCTCCCTGCTCCCATCAGCCAGGGTGGTGCATGCTCCTGTCCCCCTCATTCTGGGTTAATGGCAATAAAAGTGATGTGGTTCAGCTCCCGACAGTTGCTGGCTGAAAGGTTTGAGTAGGAATGCATCTGAAGAGCAGTAAGCTTTTCAATAATGTCGTCGTTCACCTAAACGGGCTTTTTCTCAGCAACGGGGGAATGAGGCTTAGACATGTCCACGTCTGTTGGGATGGACACCTCACCAGTGCCAAAGCAGTCAGTGATGGTTAGGTTGTGTAAGGTAGCTATGTTTTGATTCCTCAAAGTTATCATAGATACTATTGGGATTTTTTTTTTAAATGAACAAGTATTGTTATAAAGAAGTTATGCTACTCATGTCTTTAGATAAAAACAAGACCTGAGAAAAGTTTCTCCTTACCATTCTCCATTCACTGGCTGTGCTCCTGAAGACCTTGTAACAAGTCAATCCCTTGAAATGAAATAGATCCCATTGTTTAAAAAAAAAAAAATTCTCAGAAGTCTGCTTTTTGCAGTGCCTTCTGGTCTGTCCATGAATATCGTCATTCCCCAGTGAATGAAAGCTTCAGTTTAATAGATCCATTCTTTAATTGTATTAGATTCCATGATAATATAGGACCAAAAAGGGACTAGTATCCCCTACCTTACACGAGGTAAGATAGCACTAGTTTTTGTATAAACTATAACTTTTATGTACTTTTTTTTGTGGTTCAAGTTGAAAGACGCCTTTTAAATAAGGGTGCCTAGGTTTGTATTGTATTTTAAGGCATAGGCACTGTACGTCAGTACCCGTGTAAAACAATGGCCGGTTTTACCTGTGGGAAGGAAGGGCTGTTTTGACAGGCACGCCTTTGCAAGTAGTATCTACAAGAACTCAGCTGTCTCTACTGCTAATTGCTGGTTTTATTCTGATTCCTATAAATAGTAGGTTTCTTCTTGCTGTTCACTTTCTTATTCTTAATTATCTAATGGCAGCTGCAAGTAGAACAACAAAATCAAAATGCCGTTGTTGTGCAGAGCGTTCTGCAGATAATCAGGCTGTTGCTTTCGGAAGGTGGGAGTCTTACACTTTGTGAGCTTTGCACAGGACCTTTGTTTTAATGATGAACTTCGGTAATTAGTCTTCTATGGTATGAATATTTCTCAGTGCGAGAGCTTTCATAGTCAAATTACAGCATGGGTACTGAGTATTTTTAAACTAAGCTGTGTATTGCACTGTCTCACCCTAATTTTTATACAAACATCATTTTTATCAACTACTAAAAAAATTTCATTTAGAAATTTCAGTGAAACCATCCAATTAACATGTGGGAGAATAAGCACTAATGACACTATGATGTCAAAACTGCCAAAACGCTCGTGAAGTATGGCCTTCTAGGTGATTAAATGACCATTTGAGGAGGTTTTTTATTAGCTGGGATGAAATTAAGACCCGTATTGTGAAAACTTTAGGGTTGGGCTGAACGTGAATGGGCAAAGCTGGGTGGGAAATAGTTACTGCTGCTGTTCCTTCCGTCTCTGAATAACATCAGGGGAATCCTGCTTCCCAGATTATGTACTGGAAGATTATAAAACATTTAAAGTAGTGCTTTTACTTTTATTAATTTTTCCTAAATTGGATACTGAATTCTTTTTAGCTTGGCTAATGAAATTTCTTGGTCTAAATGCTGCTGCTGATGTTTTGCCTGCTGTTTTGGGGTTTAGCCCTGAGCAGTCTTGCCTTGACTTACTTATGGTCAGAGTTGGTAGGGGACTTTGGTCCTTCCCTGGGCAGCAACCTTCCTGGGCAGGCAATGCTGGAAGAGACTGAAGATCATTTAAAAAAGGAGAAATAAGTATATTTGTTAATAGGAAGCTTCTTGAGGAAAAGCAGTCATCACCCTCAAATTTTTTTTGGGGGGGGAGGAAAACTTTTCAGCACCATCCAAATGCGAAACCCATCTGAGAGCTGCCTGCGGGGGTGGGATGGGACGTGGCCGGTGGTGGTGAGCATCCACGCTGGTCTCTCTGCAGCACCCGTGGCTTGGTGAAGGATGCTGGTCCCACTGGGCACGCACGGGGCAGCAGTCGTCCTAATGGGGTTTGACCTTCTCTATCACAGGTTCGGTGCTGGGGGGGACTGGAGCGTGGTTTTCTCATTTTAACATGTGCAGGTTCAGGTTTTTTTAATTTAGTTCAGTTATTTGTTCTTGGACTGAGAGCAGGTGTGCACGTTTTATGGGGGGAGGCACGTATGTAATGGAAATACTAACAAAGAATTAATTGGCACAAATCACAATGATGTGATAGCATTTCTATTCTTCTCTTACCTTCTCCTAGTAACACTTTTATAAAATAGAAAATGATGTTGGAAGGAATGTGGAAATACATGTCAAAAATTTGAAGAAACTATTTTTAAAAGTTATTTAGTAGAAAGGTAAGGTAAAAACCCCATTATCATGGATTACATTGTACATTTGAATTTATCTGTAAGTCAGAAATGCAGTAATGCAAAATTAGGAGTTTGGTATTTATTTACTTTTTCACATTTACATTTGAAAGTGCCTACTCGTTTCTCCAGGCACTTAAAAATGCAGAATAAACATAAGCGAGAGCATGAGGATCCAAAGCCAGGCAGGCTTTTTCTCACCACACTGATTTCCTTACTTGTCTCTGTTCAGCAGCAGCTCTTCCAATGAATTGTCAAAACCTTTGGCCCTTCTTTTCTCCCCTTCCCTGTAAATATGACCACTTACAGTGTGGTTCTTTGATATTAGGTGACTTGAGTTCCATCATCAGGTGCTTTTGCGATAAGGACTGATTATTGGATATTTTCTTTCTTAATCAGTGCTTATATCAATTTTTTTTTTTTTTTTTCTGTGCTAGCATCATCTGAGGACAGGAAGGGGTTTGATTATGTCAAACACATAAGAGGTTCCTCATTTAACAAAACAGTGTAAAGTGCTTTCAGGATGAAGCACTTCTCAATTCATGGTCAATTTTCTGCAGCTGCTTTTGTGCCAACTATTAAGACATAGCTCCTTGTGGAGAGAAAAATGGCCACAATCAACTTTGAGGTAACAAAAGCAGGGAGATTTGCAAATTCAGAAAGAAAGATGTCTTGCAGGTTGCAGAAAGCCATCTTTCCGGCACGGCAGCACCCAGCCTCGAGCGCTGCGTGGACGGGTGGAGGAGCACAGTTGATGACCACCCAAAAAACATCTAGCTGTATGCTTTGCTTTTCTGGGCTCATAGGGAAGCAAGACACCAAACCCCCTTTGAACACCGAGTACCTTCCAGCAACCCCTGCGCTGACAGTGAAAATATAATAATAACTGTTTCATTATCTTATTGTAATTTGGTTGCCAAGTGCATATGCGTTACCAAGGCAAAGGCAAGCTGAATTCTGACATTTACTGTTTCAGCGGCTCATCTTGTGTCTTAAATTTTTCTAAAGTGCCTTTAATTGTCTGAATTACTATTAAAAGGGGGAAACGTGTTTAAAAGCACTCTAAATACAGAATTAACCATTCCTCCTCATAACTCGTTGTTGGCAAAGTTTGAATCTGAAGCACTGATGCTGGAGCACAGCTTGAGGCAGGCAGAAGTTTGAAGCTGGTTGCCCAGCACCTCCAGGAGTTGTTGGCTTACTGGCTGTCCAGTTTAGCCTATGCAGCCAATTTATTTTTTTTTTTAATGTAATTGAAAAACTGGCATTTTCAACAATTTGTGTCATGGCCAGGGCTCAATGTGGAATTTCACTAAACAAAGAAAAAGGGCTTTTTTCCCACTTCTCCGTAGCATGACTTCAAGGTGTTACGCCTCAGAAAAATCACTGAACATTTATAATGGCAAGTGGTTAATTGGTCTTAATGTATCATGGTCATTAGCCCCCCTTATATATCAAAAAGAAAAAATTGACCGTTATTGTTTTGAAGCCTATGCATGAGTTGCTTGATCTGTGGGTCTGTGAAATGGAAAAGGCAATGTTAACTTGGCCAGTCATGAAATTTCCTGACTTTTCTTTTTTTGTGCATTGTAACCGTGGTGGTTGCGGTCGCAGAAAGCATTGCGGCGCTGGACGCTGCAGCGAGGAACGGTTGTGTGTTTGCAGACCAGATGGCTCATTAGAGCAACAAGAGCAGAGGAAATTGGAGACACACAAGAGTTTTCCTTTGCCCTGTGACGAGCAGCAGCCCTGGGGCTCTGCTCTTTGCGTGCCCTGCCATGCCATGCCGCCGTCCTCGCCGGATGAAGAAGTCCTTTAGCTTTGCAGAACCATACTTTTATAGTCTTGAGCCTGGAGTTCCTCAGTTGGGTCCCTGTACCGGAGGCGTAGACCTGAAGCAAAGCTGCGCCTTTCAACTCAGTCCACCTTAATCGCCCTAGTTCTTCAAATAAGCTGTGAATTACCATGTCAGTGCGAGGGAGGAGGTCTCTGCAGGTCTGCAAGCGACGTTATCTGTGTCGCCTTGCAAACCGAAGGCAGAGGAAAGCTGTGCAAAAAGATCGAGGAGGAACAACCTGAGGATGGAGACCGGAGAGGTGAGCTTTGCAAGCCAGATTAGTAGCTAAAATTTCCTGTGCATAATGTATGTTATTCATCCAAGAGGGGTTATTGATGAAACACTTCATACATAATGGGAGCGGAGAGTCTTCAAAGAAACTGGTAGTACCTCCATTCTCCCTTCAAGATGACTTCGCTCCGTACCCAGGCCTGTAATCAATAATTACCCTGTGATTTCCTGGGAGCCTCCTTGTTCAAAAACTCGAACCAAAGCAGCGCAGGCTAGTGAACCCACCGTAGTCCCTGCCAAAGGACGGCAAAGCACGCTGTGAAATACCAGTTACAGGCTGAAGAAACTATTTATTTTCTGGTGCCACCTCTGTGGAGTCGGACTCGTCCTTGGTTCCCGTGCTGCACCCTCGCCCGTCCTTCCTGGGGTCTGCAGGTGGTGTTGAATCTCTCCCTTTAGAAAGCA